ACAACCTCTCCTGCCACCCAGCCAGGGAACCCTCTCCTCAAAACACCCAGGGGCCCTATCCTTCAAAGGGACTTGTAGCCCCTGGCCGCTGCCACAGTAGGAGACAGGCCCCGGTAGGGCTTAAGGTTGGGGGTTTTGTACGAAGTGGGGACTGTATTCACCTTGCTACGCTGCATGTGAGTTTGACTGTCCTGTAGTCACCCCCTCTGAGTGCCTCAGTTTCCCTGGGCACGGCACTCACCCCTAGATGCGGAGGGGAGTTTCGGCTGTGACAGACGGAGATGCAGTGGGGGTGCTGGCTACTCTTGTAACCCTGGGTCTCTGTATTGTGTTATGTGTGAGCCCTGATGACTCACCCCAGATGTGCACTAGGCCTAGACACCTGGGGAGCCAGACGGAGAAGATAAGGACTCTGCTCCCGGAGACAGAGACAGGATATAGGTGGGGACTGTCACCAGGCAGGGAGCTAGGCCTGGGAGTCTGGGCTGCGCTAGGATGAGAGCTGCGACTGAGGCAGGAAAGGGGGGTAAAGGGCCCGGTGCCCTTCCCCCCGAGAGGAAGAAGGCGTCTGCGCTGGGTCCCTGTGCTCACCCCCATCCTGTGCTACGCCGTGTCCCTGAGAACCAACAAACCTTCTACTCTACTAGGTGGATGGGAGTCACGTCTGCCTGCGGATGGGGGTGCAAGGTCGGGAACCCATCACACAGCCTCTCACAGGCACACCACGGCCGAGGTCCTTCGCAACCTGCGTGCAGGAGGGGATGCGACCAGGTGACACCATTGGCCAGGGAAGCAGGAGAACGGCCAGAGGAGGAGTCTGTCTGTGGGCAGTGGGGCTGTCTCGGGGGGCTGGGGAGGCAAGGGGAAGCCAGAGCCCTGGCTCAGGGCCCCTGTTCCCAAGCTGGGCTGTCTTGGCAGCGCTTGTCCCTGTCGCCTCAAACCCTCCTGTTCTCCTTGCTGGCTGAGAGCCACTGCTGGCTGCGAATGGGGGTTCAGAGCCTAGTGACCTCCCCACACCTGGGTGACCCCATCACCTGGTTCCTTTTTATACACTTAGGGCTGTTACCAAACACATGAGACCCCGTCAGTATTCAGCACTGGACACCGAAAAAAACAACCACGCAAAGTCAACAGAGAATCTAACAGAAGCAAAAGCAGAATGCTCAGTGAAGTGTCTCCTAAGACAGCCGCGTCTTACCTGCGATATTATGTAACACTCGGTGGGCTGGTCCACACTGGTGGCCGTGATGCTTTCATTTCGAAAAATTTCACAAGGGCAAGAGAAGTATCGTCCATCCAGGAGAAGAAGGGTCATCCATATCAGCGAGGGAACAAGAGCTTTAAGCAAAGAGCAGCTTGGGTCACGTTTTTGGCCCACAATAGGCAGGAAAATCACAGTCAGCAGAAACAAAACCACAGCTGGAATAAGAAAATAGGAGAGACTGTAATAGACCCTCCAGTTCTTCTTTGCGGGACATTTAAATTCCACCTCCATGATTTTTTCAAGCGCTATCAAAATCAATGAACAAACCGATGTCGAGACAATGCCAAATTGATCTTTCCATGTTTCAAAAAATTTCTTCCTCTTATCCATTCTGCCCCCTCAAGCCAGACCTTGGCCAACTCACAGCCAGGGAGAAATGATGGCGAAACGTTTGAGCTCTGGGACTCCTCTTGACTTTGACAAGTAATTTTGTTGAGTGAAAATGAAAGTGAAAATATTGCCTTGTTAAAAAAAACTCCCTTTTTGGTGCTCCCATTGGTGGTGTCTAGCTATGGATTCAGTTTGCTAAGGGCAGGGCATTGGTTTCAGCAGTGTCTCGAGAAGTCAGGTTAGAAACAATTTCTAGTTTTCCACATCGCTTATCCTCAGCACCAATTATCCCTCTACGGTGGCAGCTGTTAGAGAAGAACCAGGGGACCCAGGAGCGGATGGGGTAAAAGGAATTGCTTCATTGCCCACGCACGTTTCCCTCGGACATTCAACACAGCGTCTGAGTGGGAACAAGTCGGCAGGCGTTAGAATCTTTGATCTATTTTAGTAAGTTAATTCACACGGCGATCACTGCTTTTCCTGAACCTTATCTAGTAATGTTAACTAAAATGAATATTAACAAGCAAATAACCAATACAATTATACCCACCCTGAATTACTGTTTACAGAATTTCTAATTAAATCAACACATTCCTGGACTATGAACTGACATGTTACAGAGATTACAAGGGATTTGACCCTGAAGATATTTTATATCGCACCAATGAGGATAAGCAAAAGACGCAACAAAGTCAAGCTGCATGCTTATCAATTTTCCAAGACTGTCACTGCCAGGACAAAGCCGGTGCCCTTCCCCCCGAGAGGAAGAAGGCGTCTGCGCTGGGTCCCTGTGCTCACCCCCATCCTGTGCTACGCCGTGTCCCTGAGAACCAACAAACCTTTTATTCTACTGGCCGCCTGAGAGTCACGTCTGCCTGCGGATGGGGGTGCAAGGTCGGGAACCCATCACACAGCCTCTCACAGGCACACCACGGCCGAGGTCCTTCGCAACCTGCGTGCAGGAGGGGATGCGACCAGGTGACACCATTGGCCTGGGAAGCAGGAGAACGGCCAGAGGAGGAGTCTGTCTGTGGGCAGTGGGGCTGTCTCGGGGGGCTGGGGAGGCAAGGGGAAGCCAGAGCCCTGGCTCAGGGCCCCTGTTCCCAAGCTGGGCTGTCTTGGCAGCGCTTGTCCCTGTCGCCTCAAACCCTCCTGTTCTCCTTGCTGGCTGAGAGCCACTGCTGGCTGCGAATGGGGGTTCAGAGCCTAGTGACCTCCCCACACCTGGGTGACCCCATCACCTGGTTCCTTTTTATACACTTAGGGCTGTTACCAAACACATGAGACCCCGTCAGTATTCAGCACTGGACACCGAAAAAAACAACCACGCAAAGTCAACAGAGAATCTAACAGAAGCAAAAGCAGAATGCTCAGTGAAGTGTCTCCTAAGACAGCCGCGTCTTACCTGCGATATTATGTAACACTCGGTGGGCTGGTCCACACTGGTGGCCGTGATGCTTTCATTTCGAAAAATTTCACAAGGGCAAGAGAAGTATCGTCCATCCAGGAGAAGAAGGGTCATCCATATCAGCGAGGGAACAAGAGCTTTAAGCAAAGAGCAGCTTGGGTCACGTTTTTGGCCCACAATAGGCAGGAAAATCACAGTCAGCAGAAACAAAACCACAGCTGGAATAAGAAAATAGGAGAGACTGTAATAGACCCTCCAGTTCTTCTTTGCGGGACATTTAAATTCCACCTCCATGATTTTTTCAAGCGCTATCAAAATCAATGAACAAACCGATGTCGAGACAATGCCAAATTGATCTTTCCATGTTTCAAAAAATTTCTTCCTCTTATCCATTCTGCCCCCTCAAGCCAGACCTTGGCCAACTCACAGCCAGGGAGAAATGATGGCGAAACGTTTGAGCTCTGGGACTCCTCTTGACTTTGACAAGTAATTTTGTTGAGTGAAAATGAAAGTGAAAATATTGCCTTGTTAAAAAAAACTCCCTTTTTGGTGCTCCCATTGGTGGTGTCTAGCTATGGATTCAGTTTGCTAAGGGCAGGGCATTGGTTTCAGCAGTGTCTCGAGAAGTCAGGTTAGAAACAATTTCTAGTTTTCCACATCGCTTATCCTCAGCACCAATTATCCCTCTACGGTGGCAGCTGTTAGAGAAGAACCAGGGGACCCAGGAGCGGATGGGGTAAAAGGAATTGCTTCATTGCCCACGCACGTTTCCCTCGGACATTCAACACAGCGTCTGAGTGGGAACAAGTCGGCAGGCGTTAGAATCTTTGATCTATTTTAGTAAGTTAATTCACACGGCGATCACTGCTTTTCCTGAACCTTATCTAGTAATGTTAACTAAAATGAATATTAACAAGCAAATAACCAATACAATTATACCCACCCTGAATTACTGTTTACAGAATTTCTAATTAAATCAACACATTCCTGGACTATGAACTGACATGTTACAGAGATTACAAGGGATTTGACCCTGAAGATATTTTATATCGCACCAATGAGGATAAGCAAAAGACGCAACAAAGTCAAGCTGCATGCTTATCAATTTTCCAAGACTGTCACTGCCAGGACAAAGGGGGAAAAGGTGTGTGACGGGCGATGGCGATGCCTTTTCTGGCTAGACC